AGAGAGAGAGAGAGAGAGAGAGAGAGAGAGAGAGAGAGAGAGAGAGAGAGAGAGAGAGAGAGAGATAGATAGATCTCAGGTTATCCCAACCTCTTTTTATTCTCTTTTCCAGAATTGGTCCACTGCAGATTTGCTTCACTGAGCATATTCACTGTGCTTTTAATTAGAACATTAATATTCCCAATCTTGCTCTGGTTTCCCACTAACACTGGCATTAATTCTTCTCTCTCAGTAACTTGGACAGGGGGGAAAAAACAGATCAAAATGAAAATCTGTATGCAAAGCATACTTTACAGCCTAGATAAAGAGGAGGCATCCTTGGTGCTCCAGATGTTGGTGAACTAGAATCTCAGCATCCCTCACCACTGGCTTGACTGATTGGGCGTTCTTGGAGTTGTAGTTCAGCAACATCTGGAAGCCACAGTAAGTCTCCTTCTGACTTAGATAATATCTGATGTATCACTTCTTCTTATACAAGTACATTATCTTACTCCGTAAGTCTTTTATTTTCTTAACAGCTGTTAACAAAGGCTGCATCACTCCATTTTCATGCTGTAATGTTAATGCTTGGTTAGCGGGGGAGTCCTGGCTTAAAGAAATGTGTGGGTGACCCAAAAGCCAGCTCTGGAAAGTTTTTTAAGTGGAGAATTGTAGTACATTGCTATAAAAGGTGGTGCAGTGGTTAGAATGCGGTATTGTAGGCTAATTCTGCCGACCGCTGGTAGTTCGATCCTGATCGGCTCCAGGATGACTCAGCCTTCCATCCGAGAATGGAAGTAAAATGAGGACCTAGATTGTTGGGGGCTTCAATAGCTTCAACCACTTAGAGAGGGCTATAAAGCATTATGAAGCGGTACGTAAGACTATGTGATATTGCTCTTTCTATAAAGGGACTGCACCTTATATCTAAGAGCCGAGGTGGCGCAGTGGTTAGAGTGCAGTAATGCAGGCTACTTCAGCTGACTGCTAGTTCGGCAGTTCGGCTGTTCAAAGCTCAGGGTTGACTCAGCCTTCCATCCTTCCTTTTTTGAAGGTGGAGTAGAGAAGCAGGTATAGGATCAGCTGTAAGCTAGCCCCAGTCTCTCAACCACAAAGACCAGTTACAAGTGGGAATTCCTTTATCAGCATACTTTGAGGACAGCGATAGTGATAAAGGACCTTTACTGCCACTGCCTTGTCTAGCTCCCATTTGATAGGCTCTTCGGACAGAGCCGAGGTGGCGCAGTGGTTAGGGTGCAGTACTGCAGGCCACTTCAGCTGACTGTTATCTGCAGTTCAGCGGTTCAAATCTCACCGGCTCNTGGACAGCCACTTCTCTCGAATGATATAGAGTCTCCTGCTTGAGCAGGGGATTGAATTAGAAGGCCTTCAAGGTCCCTTCCAACTCTGTAATTAATCTCTTAAACCACCCCCAAATTAAAACATGTCCACATTGTGGGCCTTGACATGGCCTTTAAGCCAACTGGAATTAGACACACATGACCTAGAGTTGTGATGGCGAACCTATGGCATGTGTGCTGGAAGTGGCATACAGAGCCATCTCTCTGGGCATGCGAGCCATTGTCTGTTCTTCTTCCGGGTTCTGGCACGCTGGCCAGCTGGCCATAACCCATGCAGGAATGCCGGAAACTGGAAGAATAACTGCCCTGTGCGCATTTGTGCACTGGGCGGCTGCACGTCCGAATTCCATCTGATGCACATGCACGTATAAAGACCAGGTAGCCGGTGTGCATTTGAAAATGGAAGATCGTCTTCCTGGCGGGCGCATGCACACTGGACAGCTGGTCTTCCAGTTTCCAGAGTGCGCATGCACACCGGCCAGTGTTCTTCACGCATGAATGCGTGCCAGAAACTGGAAAAGCAGCTGCCTGGTGCATGCACGCTCTTCCAGTTACTGCTGCTCTTTTGGTTTCTGGCATGGTCACACCCATGCGCTCCCATTTTGGCACTTGGTGTTGAAAAGGTTCACCAACACTGGCCTAGAAGATAACAGTGAAGTCAAGGCCTACCCCAAAGATGATGGACCATGTATAACTGCCCAATCTGTGAGAAAAATCCACCAACAGCTTCTTTATCATCCTGCCGGATACGAATAGCCCGGGCCCTGAAAGGAAGGAGATGATTGTTTACAAACCTAATGCTGCAGTTGACATAAATGCTGCATCATAGTTCAATCACAGCAATAAGCAACAGATTGCAGAGCCACATGTTGCTATAAAAATAATATTTAGAGCAATAGAAGTAGCTTGGAAGACCTGAAGCCAACAGCAATGTTTGGATTACAGCACCAAGGAGTAATTCAGCTTTATGTAGGTTACTTATAATATAAAGAGTACCTTGAATCCATTAATGATTTTAAAACCATTTTTTATTTATTTAAAACATTTGTAAAGTCACCCATCTTAAATCAAACTCTGGTTGCCTTATTATATAATTTATTAAAACAAATCTGCCCAGGCAATCCCCTTGATTTGTAAAACAGGAACCGGAAACTTTTTTGGGGCCCCTTCAGAATTTAAAGGTTTTGAAATTGGGCTTTGCAGATACTGATACAATTTGTCAAGAGCCAGGATCCAGGAGATGCCCTTTAGATGCTGCCATTATCCGTAGGGCCCAGGATGGTATTTGTCATTCAACAACTTCTTTATATTCTCCAGTTCTGTCCTCAATCATGTTACTTCATATCAAACTGCCTTATACTAAATTAGACAGTTTTAAACAATATTGTTTATGATGACTAGCCAAAGTTCCTTATTCTCAGGATTCCAGCAGCTGCTTCACACAAAGATTTTCCTTTAATATGTGTTTTTTGATGGAAGTTCTGAGTCTAGGGTTAATTAGCCTGTCCTAAGATAATGGACTGGTCATTTTATATAGAAAGTCAGATAAAAGTGAATTTGCCTAATGATCCATATTAATGTGATCTTGAACTGGAAAAAATGGGATGAGAGTATGAATGTGTCTGGAATAAATTTTTCCTTTTCTTTTAAATTTTTTTTTTAAATGGCCAATACTACTAAAGAGGATGTTATCCAAAATAATTATTCACTTGATGTGGCAGTGCTACATAACTTATTTTATATATATTTACAATCAATTCAACCAAAGCAAGCTTCTACTCTTCTCATTTTGCAGGGGAGAATCTGAGGCTCAACCTAGTCGTAAAATTCAGCACATCTAAAAATAAAAGATATAAATCGCATTATAAGCATGATTTATACTTGTCAGTATTTATACCAACTATGTTTATGCACAAGTTTTATTCCTAAAAAGCTGGAAAATTCTTCTCTTATTTTCATTTTGTAACATACACCTTTATTTTTCCTAGTAGGGGTTTCTTTACCATAAAGATGCTTACCCTTCTGGGTTAAGAGAGTCAGATAAGGAGGAATGAGCAGGATAAATATATATGAAGGCTCCTGATAGGTTTTTTTGAGCTATTTACAATAATGAAAGATGCTAAGGTTGAATGGGACAATCATATTCATAATCATCTCAACAGGTATTTGGGAAATAGAACATTGCATTAAATGATACTAATTAGTCTTGCACTATTATTTATGTTTTTATTAATTTTCTTCCAACCCCTGGAAGCACCCTATAAATTTATACTGCAACCTACAGCGCCATCTTCAACACATTATGGCTCTTACCAGTAGTTGCCCCATTCAATCATTGTTCCAGGCTGAAAACAAACAAAATATATCATTAGATCTAAAAATGGCTTCTTCTTATCACCTACAAGCTAAGAATTAATACCCCGGTTTCTAATTACTTTGTTTTAGCCTACCAATTCCAGTTTCAGTTTCTTTTCAAAAGCAACATTAAGAACAATGACATAACGCTGTTAACAGTTGAAGTGCTTACTTCACACACACCCCAAATGACCCTATTGTCAAAAAATAGAATTTTCAGCAGAAAACAAATAAACTTAGGCAATAATGGTACTCTAGTTAGGCATTTCTATCAAGAACCAAATTGCCATTTTTGTCTATCAGTTGTATTATCTGAATAAACTTCCACAAGTATGCAATCTTAAGACATTATTTCTGAGTAATTAACTACTGTTAATCCAATAAGATGCAGGCTAAGTCCTGAGGTTGTACTGAAAGCACCTATGCTTCTTCTTTAAGTGTTTTTAAAAAATAAGTCATGCAAATTCTATACCTGTGGAAAAAAGCCCACTCACACGTAATTGGTAAGACCTTAATTCATAGATGTTGGGTCCTGGCCTGAAAGTAGGCTCATTCCAAAAGCTGAACTCCAAGAGCAACTGATTCTTGCGGGACAGAAGCATGTTTCCTCTTGCTTTGCGAAACTCTGTAAATTCCTAAACAACAACAACAACAACAAATTGGATTCCTTAAGGGTATTGTGAAAAGCCATTATATTTTAAAAAGAATTTATCCAGATTCTCTTTAAATATTCATAATTTAATAATGGAAAAATAGCAAATGCCTCAAACTTGTTGGCTTTTCCCAAAGCTTTAAAACATGGCTTGGAATGTTTTAAGAGTCTTGTCACTTGGCTTCACCATTAGTTGATTAATCATAATGATTGCTATTTGTATTTTTTTTTTGTAGATGCCTTTTTCTTGTTTTAATGTTTGTTAAATTGCTTTATACTTTTAGAACTGTAAGCCACCCAGAGTCACTTGGTTGAGTTGGGTGACTATAGAAAATGGATGGATGGATGAATATGAGTGATTCCTAATAGATACCGAACTCTAGACCTGTCAATGATAATGTAAATACTATTTGAATAAATCTTACTTTATATAAAATTTGAGGTACTGAATTATTCAAAAATACATAAGCTAATCATGTGAAAGCCAAGAGAGAGAAGGAGAAGTGTGAGAATAAAAAGAGATCTCATATAACTGAAAAATGTTATAGTCTTTAAAGTACCTTTTCCTTACCTGGTGTAATTTAAATGTATTTGGCTTCAGCTCCTAGAATCTCTTGTCAGCACATCCAATAGTGATTCCAGGAACTGAAAGCCAACACATGTAGAGAGCACCAGATTGAAGAAGACTGGATTAAAGCATGTAACTTTAATTAAGACCAAGCAGTAAGACAGACAATTTTATTTCGTTATAAAACTGTGGTATATTAACATAAAAACCACTCATCTTTTTCTTAAATGGTATAAAAGTTGCTGTAACATTAGAAATAAGGAGAGCTCTCCATTTTTGTAAAACTGGATAATGAGGTATAAGGTAAAGGTTCCCCTCGCACATATGTGCTAGTCATTCCCGATTCTAGGGGCGGTGCTCATATCCGTTTCAAAGCCAAAGAGCCAGCGTTGTCCAAAGACATCTCCATGGTCATGTGGCCGGCGTGACTAAATGCCGAAGGTGCACGGAACGCTGTTACCTTCCCACCAAAGGTGGTTCCTATTTTTTCTACTTGCATTTTTTACATGCTTTCGAACTGCTAGGTTGGCAGAAGCTGGGAGAAGTAACACGAGCTCACTCCATTACGTAGCGCTAAGGATTCGAACCGCTGAACTGCCCACCTTTCTGATCAATAAGCTCAGCATCTTAGCCACTNCTAGAGTAGATTAACACCATCTAGTGGTCTGCCATGAACATTGCATGGCTTTTTGTCATTTTGAGTTTTCAGAGATTTCTGGTGACTTTATTTTTAAAAATAAAGTTTGATTTTATCACTTGTGAGATCTTCCAAAGAGGGAAAGGGTTAAAGGATGTCTTCACACTACCAGGTTCATTATATATATATTCTTTATTTCCATTTAAAAAAAAACATTTCATTTGCTACAAAGGCACTACAGGTTGTATACTGTAAGTCTTCTTTTTCTCAAACTAGAATTAGAGGGAAGATGCTGGATAGCAGCAATAATTACCAAACTGCTACACACAGGGCCACATTGTGTAGATTCAATGGGCTTCTAGACAAGAACGTTTGAAACCGCCAGCCTCTCACCCACAGGTCCAGGCAATTAACTACACCTTAGTTAGTATTTTGTGGCATGGCATGTTAGTACAGGACGTGGATGGAAAATTACAGGGAGTCCCAGAGCTACAGCAAGATTGTGAAGTCAAAAACCATGTTGGAAGAAAGCAGTGGAAAACCAGTTCTGTTGCTAAGAAATCAACACAAATATACACATTAAATTACCAGGAGTGGAGCTTGATTTAAGTAGTCCTATTACATCTGGGTTGCAAAAATCCAGTTGATCACTAGAAGTCAGCAAAGCCTAGATATGTAGCACAAAAATCAAGGAATGATGTATCTTTTTCTGCTAAAACTGATTCACTGTTGACTAGATTAAACATGCTATTTGCCGCTTTACTCTTGATAACTGGCAATATTTGATCTATGGATCTCAATCCATGAAAACAAAATAAAATCCAGGCTGCAACTAACTTCATGTACCCTAGCCTGCTCTTCAGATTCCTTAGATAAATCCAGATTCCTCCAGCTGAGGTTGGGTAGGGGACAGCCAGGCAGGAAGGTTGTTTCAACTAGCTTCAAAGGAGAAAACAGAAATCCACGAAGTACAAGACAAAATAGTCCTTATATCAAAACTCATGTAAGGGAAGACATCCACATTCCTGACTGGTTCTTGGGATTTGATTTTCCTTCCAAGGTTTCCCCAAAGGTGCTTTTTTCAAGAGGCAACTGGATTTTCTTGTTTATCTTTGAAGACGTTTCGCTTCTCATCCAAGAAGCTTCTTCAACTCAGAAGCAAAACGTCTTGAAAAGAAAACCCAGCTCCGTAAATCAGATTAAAATACCTCATACAAGTAAATTCAATTCAGTAAATTCAGTAAGACTTTATATTCTGTCTCCAAGCAAAAAGAAACAATATCTAATAATAATCAGTAAAGCTCGAACAATGCCCGTGATATGAGAAAATCAATAGGATTTTATTATGTTTTGCCAAAAATCGCTGAAATGTTGGATACATCATAGATGATAGATAACAGTGTATTACACTGATTCATCAACTTACAAGATAATCACTTCAATGTATCTACATTATACACACATATTAAAAAATCCATCTATTCTAAAAGAAAATCAAAAACAGACAATTAGACATGGCAGAAACATTAATTTGCCTAACTTAATAGGCAATCTTTTAATTACCTTTTCTGAATTGCCATCTACAAAAGAATCCCACACATGATTGAAATGTTTTTGTTTGTTTTTTAAATCTGTCCATATCCTACTTTACTGTCTGAGTCTAGGAGTGTTTGTAAAATATTTTAACATACTGATCCTTCTTTAGCTGATTCTCATGCTATAGATTAGGGAATTCTCTAAATATGTCACACTGAACGCCTTCCCAAAGCTGAAGACATATGGCTTGAACCTCATCTAATTGCACAGCCATCCACAATACATTCTGGGGAACTTTTTGCCACTGACTCTTGACTGAAACAGAGCAACCAGGATGGGGTATTTACAGATGGGATGCCAGGGGATGAATGCCTTTACTTTGCAATTTAAGTTTATAGTTCCCAACAAAAAACAAGAAAGGGAAGGTCTTGAAGAAAAATGAAAAATAGAGGAAGACTTACCGTAATCGTCACTTCTCCCCTATTGACAACAGCTTCACTGTTTTGGGAAATTGGTCTTATTAAACATAATGGGACTTCCTGATGGGTAAAGGCTGACAGATGCAACTTGCACAGATAGTTGCAGATCAAACTATATTAAGAAACTTAAGATTCCCCCCCCTTTTGATATTCTAATTTCACAGTTACATTCCTAGTGTCTTTAAGTGAACATTGGTGACTTTGTATTGCAGGAAGCCCCTTTGCTCTTAGGAGCAACTGGTAACAAATATCCTTGAGGTGACAGTACACTTTTCCTAGAAAGAAGAAAGCAACCATGCCATTTGCCCTCTATGCAAATCTGGAGAAGTGTAAAAAAGGAGGAAGGCTTTCCCCAGCAATGATTTGTACCATAAGGCCCAATAGGCTGAATAAGCAGATATGAAGGCGAAAATGCTCAATTGTCTCCCCATAATAAAATGCAGATGTTCGAATGGTTAAAGCTCATGCGACTATATCACTGAAGCGTGTGTGCTTCCATCAGTATTTGCTGCCTGTCCAAGTGCTTCTGCATCTGCAGTCCTATGGTTGAAAGCTAAGACTTAAATGGTCACCCTGCAAATCTTCCATATGGATTTCTAAGTGCTCCTGCAGGATCTGAAGAAAACATTTACCAGCCTCGGTATACAATACTTTGGGACTGCCAAACACATGCCATCAAAATTAACTAAAAAAAACAACCAAAAAGTCACTTTATATCAATGCATAGGCATCGGCTGACCAGTAGCTTTATTGAAGTGGAGAAATCTTCAAAGGTATCATAATCCTGGATTCCATTTCCTGAATAAGTGGCACTGAAATAAAAACACATAAGGTGATATATGTGACACATGAAAAATGAATGACTGCTGTAGCCAGAGGAAATACAAGGTGCATTCCTGCAGCCCAAAGAGCCTGTGAAAGTAGCCACCACAACTGTAAATATATATTCAGACGTGGCTGGAGGCATTATAGAAAAAGTTGTAGTCACGCCTAACATCTGTAGGTATACAACCAGGTGAGTAGCATCTGCAAGGAGAGGGTAAAAAGAACAGCACCCCAACACAGCAGTTGCAGGTGTACAATTAAAACACCACCCCTTTACACAGGTGTATGATAACATTCACAAAAAGTGCAGGGCTTCACTTCTTGCAGTTATGGCCACAATCTTGACACACAAACACACACACACACACACACACACACAGACACACACTGGATGCCTCTGATCTAAGCAGCTTTACATGGACAAAGATGCACTGTGGGGGAAATCCCGATAGGACATGTGATGGCAGCTTTGTTCTGCCCAGCATTTGGAAACTCTTCTGAGACTTTAGAAAAAAGAAAGTATGTTGCTCCTGATAAGGGAGAAGAGCAACCCATGAGGCAGAGCCAAGAGTGGGATGAGTTTAAGAAACAGTGATACAAAAAGTGGCAAGAAGAAGATAAAAAAGGGAAAGGGAGACAGAATAATTAGAAATCCTGAGCAAAAGGGCCTCCTTTATCAGAGCAGCATCTGGACACAGCAAAAATTCCCCGGGGAACTTAGCTGGGCTTGGAAGTAGACAAGTCAAGGACAAGGCTCAGATAGGTAATCTGTTTACCCCGTAGCCCTAATATTGCACATCACTGACTACAGAGTCTAAGCAAGCCAATTTTCTACATACAGTATAAGAGCCTGAGGATTTTAATCTTAACAGGTCTTTCTCCTGTCCTGATTTCATGTCGCTCATTTCTCGTCTTGGAAATGGAGAGAAGCCACCCTTTGATTTGATAATAAAATGTGTCTGGTCTCCAACTCTCTGTCTTCAGCCTTGGCAGCTTCAGACCCCATACTCTCAGCCCTGGCTACACAACAAGCTCCACACCTGATGAACATTGTTGCTGACATTGTCCTCAAAAATCCCTAACTTTGCTGATCCCAGCATCTATCTCCAGTAGAAAACATTATTGTCTAATCCTCATCACATTTAAATAAATATAGAAATATAGTCCGAAATGCTTGCTAATCTTATATTCACTTTCCAACCCAAAAACTACCCTGAACTCAAACTTCCCAGTTAGCCATCTGTCAGCCTAGTCTCGAGGATCATGGGTACTGGGAGAAGATAATCTGTATCTAAAGATGGAACAACTAAGAGAGAAAGCTAAAAAGCTTCAGGGCCACAATATCTTACATGAGTATTTATGTATGTATGTATGTATGTATGTATTTATTTATTCATTCATTCACCAAATTTTTACCCTATTGATATCTAATGCCTCTGAGAGGCTTAAACAAAATATAAAGCAAGTTGCAATATGAAAATCCCAAGAGGGGCCATCCAGAATTACACAAGCAAGCGGTAACAACTGATAAGAACGGGG